GTAATGTTGCCAAACTCTCTGCAAAGACAGAAATTTGAGAAAAACTCTTAGTGGTTATTTCATGGGCCCATATGATTATATTGTAGCCACTGCCGCTGTGTCACAGCTGCCGGTGGAGATGATCTAGTGGACTCGTTCCAAAAGATTTTGTGAGTACCATTCATTTAAATAGCCAGATTTATAAACATTCCCCTTTAAGAAAAGCACTAATAACAAATGTTTTTTCTTGTTATGATTATATTAGATCCTCTATTACAGCAGCTTTAAACACACATACATATACTGTGGCTTTAAATATATCAAATGAAGTAAAAACAATTGAGCCAGATAACGGATCCAAACAAGAGGTTCCTTTAATGATCGCTTGTCTTGTAAAGAATATAATACAATGACAGGACTGGAATTCATAAGAACATACATCAATAAATATGGATAAATACTTGTGGACCACATTCACACGGCAGCAGAACGGGCTCAGTTGCAGATATAGTGTGTCTGTGCTCACAGTAAACACACAGCTGCTACAGCCACATTCTGAAGTGTTGTGAAGGGACCAGAGCCAAAGGAGTAATGTTGGTCTGTACGGTGAACTGTCACCTTGCTTCTGGCTCTCCTGCACCGTGTGTAGACCAGAGCATCTGTTTCTTCTGATGCAGCAGTTTGAAACAGCAGAATGTGTGTGTGTGTGTATTTGTGTGCGTGTGTGTGGGAGGAACAGAAAGAGGGAGATGATAGGTTTTGGATCTTCACTGGCTGTATGAATGTGGTCCAGGGAGGCTAAGCAACAAACACACCTCAGAGTTTAAATGGATTTGAAACAAATGAAAAGAAGAAGCTTCAGAGTATTTACATCACAGAGGAGAGACGGAGTGTTTGTTATTGATTTCTGCCGTTTGTCTCTTTCAGTACTCATTCACTCACTGTAATACGTCTCCATTCATCCATCCATCCATCCCAACAGAACACAGCCATTCTCTTGACAAGGATGAATCGTCTCAACTCAGACAGAGACACAGTGTCATACAAGTACCACCAGGGGTGCAACTGTACATAAGAAGTTTGGGGGCGATGCAGCTAAGCACAAGGGGAAAGGAGAGAGAGAGCGTTTAACGGTCTGATGAGCTGAAGAAAAGAAAAGGAATATGAGATGATGATAAACAATATCTGAGAAGAACCCGTCACATGACACAGAGAAGCGCAGTAAACAAGGACAGTCTGTTTTCCTGTCGTTTAGAGAATATCCAGCGGTCAATCGACACAATTGTGCCGTCAATGCCATCGACAGACTTAATAGGAACCAAAGACAGACGGGCTAATCATGAAATCAATAGTCTGTCTGTGTGTGACTGAGGACAACAGCCTCTAAGGCTTCCATGAGGTTGTCATTGCCTGACGGGTGCTGTGTTCAAGTGCCTGAGGTTTACAGAAAAGGACAGTTGTTGCAGTTCATGTAGGAAACGAGAGATTCTTCCTGTCACACTTAGTTTGTGAATGGATTTACACACACGGTCAGAATCTAACTTTGCGGAACGCATCCTCCCTCCAATCCAATCTTAACAACTGTTAAGTAAACTCAGTGGAGTCAAGCTTTGGATTTCTCAACATAACTATGGGCTCTAATGAGAGAGAAACTATAATTCTGTAAAGTGAGCTCACTCTGCAGAACAACAACAACAATGTGGTTTCTTCATTTCCATAGAGCATCAAGTGGTGAAAACACAGCTGACCTTTAGTATGATGTTATGAATGTTGTCCTCATATGCACATTTAAAGGCTCACTGTGTTGGATTTAGTGACCTCTAGTGGTGAAGTTGCCAACAGAAGTCTTGTTTGTCTGAACTACTGTAGAAACATAGTGGTGCAACATGGTGGACTCTGAGAGAAGACATGCTCCCCATGTAGATATGAAGGACTCACAGACAAAAGCCCAATGACTCTTAGATTACATAACTGTAAATATTATAGAGTACCTTAATCCCTCACACAGGACTTTTAAGACCCTTTTTATTGAACTATTTTTCAAAATGATGCTGGATGGTAACTTTAAGAAAAAGGACAGAGCTTAGTCTTGGTTTTTAATGCTAAATACCTTTTGTCAAATATTTCATTTCTATATCATGCAGGTAAATATTTTTAACTTTAAGGAGGTCTACTTGAAGCAAAATGAGCGTTCCATAATTCCATTTAGTGTGTTCCTCTCCCACATAAAAAGTTTTCTTTGAATATTGTGTCTGGTTGTGTTGTGCTTTTTATTTGTGTAAGAGTACTAAGAAATACTAAGAATGCTGCTGCTCCCACCTGCTGAGACACAAACACACACACACACAGCCAATCTTCTGTCACACGGACTCAACTAAACGCACTCTTCCACAAAAAATGTTTTGTACAACAATATTGTGTTCCTGCCTGAGCTGTTTAGACAAGATTGACACCACAAACTCACTCCCTTTTCAATCTTATCTCGACTGAACGACTGGGTCACAATAAGGATCTCTGGCTCAGCCTGAGAAGAGACCTGCTGCACTGTGAAGACGTTTGAAGATGAAAAAATGAAGGATGAAAGGAAGCGAAAGTGTTTTTGTGCATTTAATAAACTTAAAGTGTTTTTGTGAGAGAGTTGCTGTAAGAAAGCCTCACGACTTCACAAAGCACAAAGCAAAAACAGCTCTAACAGAAAATACCACACAGCCCAGGAGGCAGCATCATCACAGCAAACACAGTTTTATTTTGACCGTTTGGTGGAAGATGTCTGGTCAAACTTTACAAAAAATACAATGATCATCATAATCAATCTGAGTAAGAATTGAAGATTTACAGAAATGTGTGGTACTTTTGTTTCAGACCTAATAATCTTTGTAGGGGCAAGACAAAGACATGAAAGTGGATTCATCAACAGTTCATCAATAAGTTGTCTTCTATTCTTTTTCTATTCTATTGAATTTTGTCCCAATTTGTCTCTGTTTTCCAGCCTGATTTTACTTCCCTATCACTTCATCACATCATTGTTTCAGAAAGTTTGTGCTGAGCTTTAATTAAACTGTAATTACACTGTCTCAGGGCATCAGCTCATATTTGAATTCCTCCTGTCTGCCCCTTTCCATCATTCCCGCGTGGTCAATCCATCTTCCCATAAAAAGAAGAGGCCCCCAGCAGTCTGACATCTATGAGACGACGGCGGTTTGACAGCTGAGACAGTTCTGTGGACCTCCTGTCCGTCACCCTAACCCTTCCCCCGTCATCGCTGCTCTGTGGTTCTGCAGATAATGCAGCTTGTTAATTAGTGATGTGGTAGATTAATTAAACTGATACAGAGGTGTAAGGATCACTGTTCTCCTTCATGCAGAGGACTGGTGTCATTGTCAAGGTGAGAGGAGACAAACAAAGGAGGAGAATTAATGTGCACATGATTGATTTTTTTTCCTTTTACCTCATGTGGCTTTATAATACTCAATTCTGCTTTAGTGTTCTTTTAATACTTTGTTTGACAGGCTGCTGAAAACACTGCATGTATTCCCTCACTAATAAAAGAGCAGTTTTAAATTAAATTTAACTGTGCTTATCTTCCGCTATTTTTCAGTTGTAAAAAGACAGTGACATTAAAAAGAAAATTGAGTGAGGGAGATAAATGAAAAGAGGTGCTGAAGGGAAAAAAAAGCAGAACAAGATGAAGAATCATAAAGGATAAAAAGTGTCGGAGTCAGTGTTTGGGATATAATCTCAGAAGCTCCCACCTCAAGTGCTGGGTTTAAGAAAACAGCAATTTAACCCGGCAGTAAAGTGGAGGGGAAAAGACAGCGCTTGTAGTAGTCTTCTGGATCTCCTCTTTAAAGCAGGGCACACAGCAGGAACAAGCACAGGTGTGAAGCACGGCGAGACTCCGTCTGCCCCAGAAATGGGGAAGTCTTAATCTTTGCTGCTGCGCTCTATCATCATCCACTGAGGAGCCACTGTCAACATCCTCTATCATAAACACACACACACACACACACATTCTTGTACTTCTATCTTAGTGAGGACACCGTGCATAGGTGTGTGTCTGACAATTACACTGCGGAAACGCTGGTGGACATGGAGGCTGAACGCTAGTTGCTGTACAGTTTCTATGCCACTGTGTTAAGTTTCTTCCAGTTTCTGGTCCGCTTATTTACAAATTCTCTGGCCTCTCTGTTTACTTTAGAGCAATGGTGAGTGTTGGAGATGATAGATGTTGAAGAGCAATTACTTTTTCTTAAAGAACTGCAAAAAAAAAGACATCCGAGGAGATGGTTTGTATGAAAAGTAAACTGAGCAGGAGATTCCGGACATACTGTCTGCCGGAAATATGATGCTACCAAACGGACCAATTACAGCTCTTGTGGTCGGCATCGCCTCGACCTGTAGTTACATTTTTGGGGAGGTTCCAATCACGGTATGGTGTAGGGTTCCTTGTAGGGTACACGTCTACGCTTTGGCTACAATGGAGCTAGAAGCATGGGCTAAGCCTTAAGAGCAAGTGTTAATCCTCAAAAAGTCCACTATAAAAGTGAGCACCAGTCAAAATGTCCTCACTTTCCCAAAACGTCATCAATTTGTAAGGTCTTTGCTTAAAATGGTCCTCATAAGTACAAGTACATACACACACACATAAAACACAGAGTACTATAAAAACTGTTATCTTAAGTCAGTTTAATCTAATATTTAATGCTGTTCCAATAAAAAAAAAAGTTCTAATAACGATATGTAATTTAATCACTTGTAGTGACAAACCCCACAAAACAATTATCACCCATTCACTCTCACTGCTCTCATTAGTGTGATTTGCCGCTGCAGCAAACTGATTTTAATAAAAAAAAAAAAATGCTATCTACGAGACAAAGTGGGTAATTACCTAAACACAGTGAAATTTTATTTAGCTGGTAACGAGCCTTTTAATTCAGAGATTGGAGAAGACCAAAACTGAGCTCAAAGACTGCAAATATTTCACAAGGTTAGTATTTTAATGTTGCTTCATATCTGCTGAATATGTAATTAGTCAATAGTTAACAACTTTATAAGGTGAACATTATATTTAAATATGTGAATAAAACTATTTATGACAGTTTAAGTGTTAAAAAATGCAAGAAATTTCTCAAACTGACTGACAGAAGAGTCTAATGCTGTCTCAATTCAGGCCGGGGTTGCATTTGAAGGCCACTTGCATTACAGTGGTGTTACTATACCCTTTCGAAGCCTCCCTCACATGAGGCCCTCAAAAGAGTCACAGAGCAATGAAGTCTGCAATGGGTGATTCCTTCTCGAGCAGCCTAAATCGACTCTTATCGAGCTCGTCATATCTTTAGTCGCCCATGACCTATGAGGAGCCTCTCTCTGCAATACACACGGCTGACGCATATATTCTTCTCATCAGACCAAACAAGGTAAACTCCAACATAAAAGAGAAACAGATGAATGAGATGAACTTGATGCTGCTGCATCAGCTTGATTAATTCACAGCACATGTTCCTGCAGCTTCACAAACGACGAGAGAAGACAAAGTAAATATGGGGAAAACTGAGCTGAGCTCAGACAAACTCACATCAATCGCTCAGATTAACCTTCGACGACAACAGCTGAGATCGTTCGACACATCTGAACAGTGACTGATGTGTAATGTGGTGAAACTGAATTGAGATGTGATGCGTTTTCCATTCTCCTCTGATCTAAAGTAACTGTCTCACACCGACAACAAGATACAACGCTAACAATCAAATGATTCAATTACAACTGGTCCTCTGATTCAAAGAAAATCAATCAAATCTGTAGCAGGAGAACTGCATGTTGGTTAAAGTCAAATACAATGTCTTACAAAGAGCAAACCAAAAGCAGCAGAGTCAAGAAATGAAACAGTCAGTAAAAAATGAAATGTGTTCAACAGACAAAAGGCTCAAGTCAACAACATGAGATCTTCCTTGACTCGTCTGATTTTGATATGGCATTTTCAGCGATGTCCCTATTTACAGGTTGTACTAAACCACTTCTCTCTAAAGATTGTTCACTGTGGATCTCAAAGGTATTTTTTTAAATTTTATTTCAAAAAACAGGTCAGCATAGCCCCATGTTTCAGGTCATTGTTGAGCTTGAAAGGGAGAGAAACTGGGTCAAGAGACAGACAGGTTAGGACAGGAGAGGAAAAGAAAGTCAAAAGAGTATAAAGGGAGTTGTTTTTCAGTCCTGGTAAAGCCTGCCAGCGCTTAGTCAGGCCTCAGACTCGACAATGATACAGGCTGACTCGGACCTAAGGGCAGGGCAGTGCAGGGAGGAAGGGTGGGTTTAAGGGGGGGGCTCGGGTAGAGAGTTTTGGGCTGAAAGGTTGTGAAATGCGGACGAGAGGGAGTCAGGCAAACTGAAGTCGGCAGCGCAGGAGAAAAAGGGGATGTTTTGGTTCAGAAGTGGACGTGGTTGTGGCCCTGGCCCGCTTCCCCTCCATGGTGGCCCCCCTCTCTGTGGCCATGCCTCTTGTGCTTCCTGCGCTCCCTCCTGCCCTTGTGGTGGTGGCGCCGGTAGCGGTGGGCTCGCCGGGCTGATGGAGCAAGAGGAGGAAAAAGACAGTGAAATAATACAAAAAGGGCGGACAATTTATTTATTTATCGATCTGAAGAAACATGTTGGAGCTGGAATGAGATGAAAGTGGAAAACTGATGTACGTGAGAGATGAATCATTGACAAGCATCAGAGGCATTCAGACAGACAGTAAGACAGAGGTGAAACTAGGTAAAGAGGTGAGGGATCAGAAAGCTGAAAGGTTGAAACCACGTGTTCTCTGTAGATGGTTTAACTGTTTCCACCACACTGAGAGAATCTGTTTTATCTCATGTTCAGTCGACTGGGCGCCTTTGGCAAGAGCACACTGATCTACAGCCACCCACTCACAGCCGCAGCGTAAGCCTGTTCCTGGGGTGTACTGCCAAATTAGGTTGCTCTGTCCCTTTCCGGATTTCGCCAACAAAGAAACGTCATCTGCGTTGAATGATAATGATGCTATAACTCCAGGCCATAAAAACAACTCCAAAGATAAAGAGTCATAAGCAAAGGAATCTTTATCACTTTGAACAGAGGCTACATTATTCCAGTATTTCATCATTACTGTCAAATTGTGAGCAGAGTGAAATGAAATACACGGCCTGGTTTGTTGAATATTTATATACATCAACCCCTCATATCTCTGAGGAAGCAAGAAATTATGCTGAAAACTTATGACCTCTATTCTGTTAGAGTCAGAGTGAGTGCTTTAAAAACATTCTGGAAAAAAAGAACATTTATTTTAATTTTAGTTCAAGGCTCAAAGGAGATGACGCGCAAAACAGTTGCATAATAAAATCCTGTTACTGCTGATTGTAGATGCTGCTCTGCACTAAAATTAGAGGTGGCTTCTGCAGTGAGATTGTAATGTCATCATTTTGCTCCACTTGAAAAAATCTCTGAGTGGATACGGGAATATTTTTTGCAGCTTTTTACTCCATCTGCCCCAAAGTTTCTTAAATGACATATAAAAATCATATTTCACTGCGGTTGAACGTTTTTAGTTTTGAAGTCTTCTGCATTCCACAGACGGTCAAACCATTGCAGAAACATTGTGTAAAAAAGGGAAAAAAAAGATTCCACCTCAAGCATGAATCACTTCAAAGAAGACTCTACCACTTCTAAGTGAGCCCAGGGGATTTAATTTAGTCTGCAGCCACAGTTATCTTTTTGCTTACAATTATTAATAATGAGAGCACGGATGGGAAGCCTGAATGCACATGGTGCATACATGCAGCTCCTGAGGGCAGTTAATGTAAGAGGTTGGCCTCGCGGACCTGAGGTGGTGCTCACGCTAAAAAGAAGAAGAAAATGTTAATGTAAAAATGACCTAACAAATGGAAATACTGCTTCATGTCTTGTTGAGTGGCTTCTCACCCTGTAAAAAAAAAAACATGTTGTGTAAAACTCACATTTTATGCAGATGATTTTGGGTCGGTCCCACTTGCCATTGGCGCGGCACTTAGCAGTGGGCACATGGCGTTGCAGGAAGCCGTCTGCGCACTGGTAGCGGACAACAGAGTGGATGTCATAGTGGGAACGTTTCCGACCAATCAGGAAGGCATTATCCACAGGGGGAGGGGCTCCGCAAAGCACTGTAGGGGCAGAGAAACATTATTCAGGTTGTCCACTGTCCATGTCCTCCTGTGTGATTAGAATGCATTTAATGAAGGAGGTCGATTCGAAGCCCACATGACTTTTACCTGGATTCTTCTGACGACCGTTCTTAATTAAAAGTGTATCGCCACTTTAAGGACACATGGAGCTTCCCTTAGAAAACCAGTCACAGTAAAAACGTCAAAATGTGGATAAAATGTCATTAGGTCAACGTGTCTGTCTAAGTGTGAGTGGACGCCTGTCAAAGAAAATAAAATTTTGGACACAGAAAGAGGCAGAAACAGAAACCTTTACAGGAGAGGAGGTTAGAGACTGGTCAGAACCTCACAGATATTTTTAAACTCTCCTGTCAGTTGCTGCCAGTCTCTCCTCAGTGGAGGCAGCAGGTGATTGTATAGTAGACGGTAGTTTATAGTTTGATAGTAATTATACAGCTGAAGCCCAAGAGCCTCATGACTTTTATGATATTATGAAAAGATCTTGAGTTTTAAGTCTCCTTCTTAAATATCCTTTTCCTCCATTTGAAGAATTAGTGACGTGAACCAAAAAGCTTTCATGAGTCACTAAAGCTGCTGAACCCATTGTTAACAATAATTAGAGGGGGAGGAAGTTCCATTTTCAATGCAGTGCTAAGGATATGTTCTACTGAGAAGTAGACTGCAATGTAACATTGACTGTGTTTTATCATTTTTACGCCATCTTTGGGGAGAGGAAACAAAAAGGTCAAGTTATATCCAATAGCATTGGGCAGAGGATTAACTAAATATTTATTTTTATTTATTTCTTCTGGATCTGTTTGATCAGTATTCACTGTTTTTCTTTTCTCCCAGTCGAAGGTCTGTCCATTTTTCACTTTACATGTTGTTCTGCTTTCTAAATAAATTATGCTAACCTGAGCCTTGATGGCCTTGCAAACATCAAGCCTTTCAAAAATGATTTTAGAAACACAGATCTATAATTCAACAGCAGACATTTTGACTGGTTAGAGCAGAAAAATAATGGGAAGTAAGAATGGAATTGGTTGCCATGTTCAGGCATTTAGCAGCTTCTCCTATGCATGTTACGAGCTTAACTCTTGTTTAGCAGGTTAAATGTCAGATGTAAGATAGGTTTATTAAACCTAACTTTATTTCCACATTTTTACATCAGGGCCCAATCCCCATTTAGGAACTACAGTTCTAGTCCAGTCTCCACGTCCTTCCATTAAACTACCATATACCCAACAAATGCCAATTTAGACCAGTGCACAATCCTGACTCAATAATACCCAAAATGAAATCATCAGCTGCCACTATCAAAGTTTTTTCTTTCAACACAAAAAATTACCACACTTCAGTGCTAAATGTGGTCTGCAGTCAGAGAATGTTTATAGTCCTTCTTAATTCCCTTGTCCTTGTCCTAATACCTCTTAAATTCTTAATAAGGGAACGCCGTGTCATTAACTCTGATGAAAGGTTTAGTGCCACATTTACAGTTTAATGTGTTGTGGAAGGAAGGGGCAATAAGCACTTCCCTCCTCACTTGACTCAACACAAATGGAAGGCTAAAGAGGTAGTTTTCCATTAGCCCTCACCTGTGAACACTGTCGAACGATTTCCCATCGTGGGAGCGAGGGAAGTCAGAATCTATTGAAGAAGGGATTAAAGAAAATGTCACTAAACTCAAGCAAAGGCAAATGGAGCCATGATTTTATGACTCCTTAATTCAGGAAAGGTTTTCGGGCGGAATAAAGCCTGAAGGATGTAGACGGCTACGACTGAGTGAGGACCTTGATTTCCTAGAAAAAGCCCATAATAATATACTCTCCAAAAATTCTCCAAAGCCAATTTTCCTTCTTTTAAGCTTTGACTTTAAGTGTAAAGTGTGTCACACTTGTAACAGCCACACAGACAGTCAGATTTCAAATCCCTCTTTAGTGAAAATCGAATTTTTTAACATGTTAACATTTCCCCCTCATGCCTTTTATGATCAAAGACGTATTTTGAGCAAAATAACCAGTCAGCACCATGAATATTTCCACCTTAACACAGCATTAAACAAATGCGAGTCATTAAAAACTGGATTCAGAGAGCCCAAAATGTAAAACACAGATCTAACTCATGAGTCAAGAAAGAATTTCATATGTAACTTCAGTAATATCATAGGTGCTATAAATTTCTAGCAGTGACTTCAGGTTTGTCTAAAGTTTGAAGTCACTCCTCGATGCAGGTCACACACAGTAAAGCACTTGAGAACAACACACTGGGAGAGGTGCTTGCTGTCAGTGCAGGCCTGTGTCTGCAGGAGGTAGTCACTGTGAGTTAGAGACACTGGGACAGCTGCCGGCACTGAGATGCTGGTTCCTCTCTGTGCTTCTCCTCGGCCTCAAAGCATCTGCTCACCTACTGGCATCATGTTAGAGCGAATCAGACACATGAAAGTGTGTGTGCAGTCTCCCACTACTGGGAGTCAGTCTCTCATGGAAACAGTGGATGAGGACAAACGCTGTCTTGTTTATTTAAAAAAACTAAAATTCAAAAAACAAACCACCACCATTGTTTGTGTGTGTTTTCTGTCTGAGGTGCCAGTGACAGCAGCTCTGACCAACTGATAGCAAGGGATAGGAAGGTAGACAACAGTGGAGGGTTATATTATTGTGAACAAAATAAACCCAACATGGCACAAAAGCCCCAGCTATAAACCCCAGCGTCCATAGCTTCTGCTGTATATTGTTCTGTCTATCACCCAAAAATCAATAAACAAAGAGAAGTAAATAATATTACAATATTATATATTTTTCATAGTAATATTGTAGGAGCCAATCAGAGCTCAGTTCTATAAATAGGGGCCAAACTTTATCCAGTCAGGAGTTCCACCCAGAAGGTAAACAGTTTTTGTTGTTGAAGCAGCTAGCAGCTGCAGTTTGATGTGATGAAAGATAAATACAGCTCTCTTCCAGTCTTATTGAACACTAAAGCGCTTAAGGGCGAAGAGAAGATCACAGATCAAAGTTCACCAAAGCTGAACTCCACATGAAGCAACACTGTGGATTCGCTTTGCCACAGGAGGCAAATATATATTTAAATAAATATTTATTTCCCTCCTCGCTTACACAGATTGGAAGTGTAAGGTGGGCAAAGGTTAGCCACTGCTACATTCATGTATGTGTATGTGTCACCCATTCACACACACATTCATACTAAACTTCTATACCCAGCGCTTTCACTATCACACATCTTTCATACTATGTCAGAGGCAATTTAGGGTTCAGTATCTTGCCCAAGGACACTTCGGAACTGGAGGAGCTGGGGATCAAAGCACCAACCCTCTTCTTGGTGATTTGTTTCTAACCTTCGCTACAATATCCACTCTGATCTCCACATGATGATGGGTACTTGAATCAAATTAGTAAAATCTTCTCTCACACACACACACACACACACACACACACACACACACACACACACACACACACACACGGTGACATCAGATCACAAGTGGTGACAGGAGACACATTCAGAACATTTGTAAAAAAAAACTGAAAAACATTCTTGTCTCAACTCTAAATCAAGAAAGCAAGTATATTTACGTGATGCTATTCATTGAATGCTAGTAGTTGCATTTGTTACAGGAAAGTTAAAATGAAACAAGGCTTCAGCTGTAACATTTCCAGCTGGTGATGATTGTACAAGAGAGAAATGTCTATTCAATGGAGCGAAGCTTGCAAGCTGGTGCAGGCAGCCAACTCAAGCTGCTCTGCTCCGATCATGTGATACGTCTCATTCTCCACAATCCTGTCTTACACACCCTCCCAAGTTCGTGGTCTATTTAAGCTGCAAAAACTTTCCCATCACTTCCTTTCCTTGCCCCCCGCTGCTGCTGTGTCAGTATTGCATCTGGTTGCTTCAGCCCCTCCACCACCCCAGCATCCACCTGTGGGCTCAGACAGGAGGGTTATAAATATTTGCTCATCACTCCCATAATATCTGTGTAATCATATCTGGAGGAGTAATGAAGTCAGAGCCTAGACGGCAAACACTAACTAAGTTTGCTGCAATAAACATTTCTAAGGCGAATTGTCTGATTGAAATGATAAATGTCTATAATAACATCGTGTGGGTATATGTTATTGTAAACCAATTGGGTTGGCAGGTAAAATGAACCATTTATGCAGCAATTTTCTAGACTTGCAACTCCAAACTCCAGAAAGCAAAGGAACAAACCAGGAAACAGTGCGGAGCAGAACTGAAGCACAAAGACATCCAGAGATGTGAACAGACAAAGTGACAGAGACAAAAGGAAACACAGAGACTATACACACAAGGGAGGCAGGGATCATTGAACGCAGGTAAAACACATTAGAAGAGATGGAGACAATTGCAAGTAAAGTCACCACAACAACTAGACAAAGGCAGAACAGAAACTGAAAGCAAAAAGTAGCGCACAGACCCCCCCGGGATCAAACTACAGACCCTCTGGTCAGTGGATGACGACTACTGATCCTGAGTTTCTGATGATGTATGAGACACACATTTCCCTTCTTCCCTTGTACACACTATTCTTTATCCACACACACGCACGTACCCACGCACACAAGCACACACACACACACACAAAAACACGCTCTCCAGCTGGTTAGGTAACTTGTACAGAAATAAAAATAGCTTTTCCCCTGCATGTCAAAAAGCACTTCAGAAATGGCAGGGTTATATGTGTGTATCCCATAGTGATCACATTACACACCAATAGACACGTTGGTGCGTGTCAATTCCCAAAGCACTCAGAGAGCAAGCTGAGAATGTCATGCAAAATTAGATTTCCTCTCTCTGTACATAATAAACCATCAAAACCGTGGAATAATTTCACAATAAATTCCCTCACATCCACACAAGAAGAGCTCAGAGGCAGCAAACTGTGATTCCCTTTTCACTGTAATCTACATGTCAACAGCCTGTGCCACTGACTTCTATTAAATCTTTTTGTTTCTTTATCTTTCCTTATTCAATGTTGATCCAACAATCAATCAAATACTGTGTCTGGATGTCGAAACATCTTTATGTGATTCAAAAATGTTCTTCCTTAAAATATAAAGGTCACAGAGTTGGGTGACTCGGCACTCTGATTGGTCTGTAGAGCCTTTTTAATGATGTGAAAATATTTGCAGAACAGAAAATGAAACCACATCTACTTGATATTTAACTAGGTGGATGGCTCAATCAAAAGATTTTTGGCAAATTCTTTCAATTTCTACTTTTTTCTTCCTGAATATCAAAATTGAGGGCAAATCAGCAGGTTTAATACGTGTGTGATTGATGATTTGAGGCTTGTGCAATTTGTCTGCACAAATAATCTGCATGATGAGTCTTTCCCACTATCGTCTCATCAGATGACATTCTCACCTCTTTCCAGTGATATGAAAAAAAATTTGTCATCACCATCTGCGTGACATATCACCCAGACTGGCCCCAGGATGACTGATTAAAGTGCCTGCCATCAGTCCCAGGGGCCACCGATGAGCAGACAAACAGATCACATGAGCGGCGAGCAAAAGAAATCAGACTGAGAATACTTCACTGATAAGGCGAGACGTTACGTGGGGTTACTTAGAGTGGGAAAGAGGCTGATGGGGAGCTGCGGCGGTGGGGGATGAAAAGATGCTGGTAATTGTAAGTGACTGATTAAGGTCAGAGGTGGGCAGGATGCTGGGGACTCATGACAGTGTGCATCACAGGTGGTGCAACACTTTGCTTCAGAGGGAAATACCTTTGCTTTCATGTAAGAAGAGAACAGGATCTCCTGAGGCATCACAAGTACCTTCTCTGCACTTGTGGCTCCTGATGACAAAACATCTGGTAATGCACAAGGGATTTGTTTAAATCAACATGATGACATCAGTCAGGAGTCCGAGGCTTTAACATTCTACTTTTATCAAGGAAAAACTTTTAGCAGTGTGAAAAACAAGGCTGTGATCTACAGCTAAAACACAAAGCTGCTCCCATTATAAGCTCCAGGAACAGTCACTAGTGGTTTCTTGTGTCCCAGTATTTCCTTAAAAAACAGCATGTCACCCCAGCCTGCTAATCTACACCTGGATATAAATATATCTGTCTTCTTGCCACTGGTCATAACTCTGACCTGTATGCAAATGTGTAAATGTGCAAAAATAAGCTGTAATAGGCTCTCAGTGGAGCAGGTAGCGGCCTCACTCCTGCACTGAGACGGAGCAGCTGCAAAAGAGGACATGAAGTCTCCTGTACATGGCTGATCATAGAATATAAGGGGGTTCTCACAAAATGTTCAATGCATGTGCACTGATGTATTAAATCATTCTTGGTGCCTGGGGGAAGTGTTCGCATGTTGCAACGCTTCTGAATATGACTATTGGCAAATCTTTCCCTGAACTGCGTGTTTCACTCATGATTAATATGTAGGTGAGAGCCTAAAACTCTATATGCTTTGCCACAGCAAAGAGCCGTGAACATGCAGGTAGTGTAACTGCTCTAACACGTTAACGCTGACGCCCAAATTAAAACAAAGATGTTCCGTAACAGAAAGTGTGTTCTGCTTTCTGCCTCACACGACACGCTTCGACTTCAACATTTGAAGGACAGTATGGAGCCTCGTGTGAGGAGTGTGTGGAGACGTTGAGCTGGAGGATGATGACAGATGGAAGAAGCAGAGCTGCGGAGCGTTAATGAGAGTGATTCTGAAGTACCTGCACTGATTGAAGAGGCTCTATGCTCGTCTCTTCCAGTGCACAGAGACGTGTGTAATGTTAAATATGACACACCCATTTATTCAGAACCACCCGAAGGTGCTGTCAGTCTCTGTGCCGCAACCGAAACACAGTGTCACAAGAGTGTGATCACCTTTCTGTCACATGATTCTTTATAGGATTCAGACTCTTCCTCTGGTTCTTCTCACCTGCCCTCTTCCTCATGCTCCCTCTGCCTCCGTCTGTCCCCCTCTTCATTGTCACACTCTTTACATCTCTCATATCTCTTTTCCAGTATCCCTCTTTCTCCATCCTTCCAATTCCCCTACCTTTGTCAGTCATGTTAATCACCTGCAGTAGCAGCAGCGTACTACTCTGTCACTCTCTCCTCCTCCATTGTCTCCATCTCACCTGTTCCCTTCTTGCAGACGTAGGGCAGATTGTAGTTGCAGGGCACGTCGTTCCATTTGCCATTCTCATGAGATATCATAACCACACAGTCCTCTCCTCCAGCGAAGAAGTTGTCTGGCTGGTTTTCACGCCAGTTCTCATATTGCTGTACACGCACACGCACACACATATACACACACACACATGGTTAGAAAAATACATTTGAGAAGCCAGTACTAACCTCTTTAGTATGCTCTGTACACAAATAATAATAATAATAATAATGATGTATTCATTTACAGTCCCTGATTTCCTCTTTAGTTTTTCTCTGTTCATTTGGGATCTTTCTGTGTTGTATGTAAACATGGAAATGCAACTGATTTCTTCTAATTAATTTATTTTTCAACAAACTGCTGTTAGGGATGTTTCAAGCTGCAATAATAGGCCTCTGGTTTTCTGTTACCCGTAGAAAATATTATATTTACTTCCACTGGATATAACAGAAAAAAAACAGTCACAGCTGCTTCCTCACCAGGTCCATCTTGTCGGTCCACTGAAAGTCGTCCTCCACTGTTCGATCGTTTAAACCGATCCAGGTGTTGTCGTGGCTCAGACCTGCATAAGAGGTAATGCCGGGAGACATGAATACACACTTACAGAGAGTACAAGCACGCCCAGCATTAAAGAAGGCCAATAAATAGTATAAAAAAGATACGAAAGAGGCAAGTTTACATCCAGAAAATCTGCAAAAGAAAGTTGATGTGCATTTCTATTCTCTTATGTTGATGCCTGAATATTTGGAGTTGATCTTGTTGAAATCAACAGTTGGTGCTAACTTTTAATTAAGCTGCTGTTAAACTAGTGAACAAGAAGAAGATGTAATCAGACGAGCATTCAAATTTGATTTAAAAACAATAGCAGACAAAACTCCAATGATGAATACATCCTGTACATGCAATATGTCGTCTCATTGAAGGCTCCAGCCTCCCTGTCACTCCACAGAGATTTAATGATTCCATCATTCTGCTGTTTTTTGACACTTCAGTGGAGACAGAAGCTTGAGCGACAAATTCACATGCTTCATGTAAACCATGATTAATTCACTGGATCTGTTCTCATTACATAGTTTTTATAAAAACAGCACAAAGGCAACCATCACTGGTAAGCAGGAGTTAAATGTGCTGATACGAATTTAATAAATATATCCACACACAGATAGAATAATATGTAATCAAGGTTCAAATCAGAGTTAAAAACCAGAGGGTGGTATTTCCTGATCTTAATTTGCTAAGATGGATCAAAAACTTCCCAGAGGCAACCAATAGAATGTTACCATTAGTCCACCTGTGGCTAGTAAATGCCACAAACCTTTATATTCCAAATGTTCACTTTGTAACAGAAGATTTCTGTTCTGACATGTTCTGTTCGTCACATTAATTAAGACCTTTTTTGCCTGTGATTCCCAGGTGATGAGATTTTTGTTAGTGTGTGAAAGGAAAACTAAATAATGGCCTTTAAGTCTCATTTGTGTGTATGTGGGAGTGTCTGTGTGCGTGGTCGCACAGGCGCGTGCATGTGCATGCACATATGTAATGGAATTCCAATCATGGTGTATCTGATTAACACCATTACCAGGCCCATTAATCTTTCTAATGGCTTTGATCCTCTTATTGCAGGGGTGGAGACGTCCATTTTCGAGGCAATTAAACACACTTTTTGGTAACCATGCGTGTGCAGAAGAAAGATGGGTGCAAGATGGATGGCACTGTCTTGGCATCTGACCGAGGATACAGAGGATAATATTGGATCCGATATTACAGATGCTTGGTGATCTGGCCTTATTATAGCACAAGTGGCTGTGGAGCGCTGCCAGGGGGCGAGAAGCTAAGAATGAAGAGATGGAGGTTTATGAGGCACCAAAACAGACAGGATTGATATGAGTGTGATAATGCTGCCTGGCGCAGACAAACTGCTCTCTGTGGTCAAATATTTAAGGCAATGAAGAACACCCCAAAAAACACAAGTGCAGCAATTTTTCTTTTCCTGATTCTTTACTCCTGTGCCAAAAATTATAATAAGATTTGCGAACAATTCAGGAAAACATGAAAAACCAGATGGGCTGGTTTTGTTACATAGGGCAACACAGTCAACAGCAGATGGTTTAGACAACCGGAGCAAGATATATAATGAATAACACTGTTAAATATTACAAATATATAATTTTAAAATTATTAGACAAGAAAATCTCATCCACTGAACAGGCTGCAAATATGTCTAAAAAACTAAATTGATCAATGCAAATTTATATATATAGACAAAGACAAACATAAATACATTATAAAAAAGTTTAACTTTTTTTTTTTTTTTTTTACACGAAAACAACAAGTATTAAATAAATCAATTGCATTTACAGATCTCAGAACTGGGCTAATAGTGTTTGCATATTGACACTTGCATTACTTCATTGGAAGCAAATGCCGACACCTCCCCCTCATTTCTAACCTTTTTCACAACAAATCACATTGGAAGAAACAACGTGATAGTCTATTAAATGCTGTGACACAAACACTTACATCAGAGCCTGCGGCAGCATTTCGTCGCATCAAGCGGCGACACACATTTATTTGGCTGCACAGGCTCGGCTCTTGAGGGCGTTTTTCAGCGAGGAAACGCAATAAACCCCTTCAAGGGCTGTTCAGAGCCGAAGCAGACAGACATTTATCACCGAGTTATGGAATCCACATAAGACAAGAGGTGCCATCGCAGAGTGTGGCCGTAATAAAGCAGAGGAGATATAAAGTAAATCAACAGTGAGGAGCAGCAGGGTGTCTCAGGTTGGAGGCAGACAGTAGAGTGAGAGCTGATGGATAAATAATGGACACTGTTAAAACTGATTGGTGTTTTGTTAGATGTGATTGGTGACTGTGATCTCTGGATTATTTGTGAGTTATAGACATTAGGCAATCTGAAGCGGGGGAGGGTGGACAACAGAATGACCAAAATGGATCATTTTGTTCACCTGTCAGCTCTTCATGAACGTACCCACCACTGAGTTCACTGAGGTCCAGACCTCAGTATTTATTCTGAGCTGTGTAGAAATAAGAGTTATAGAATATATATACTCTGCCCCTGTGTGACTTCCTGGACAGTATAATTCCCTGTTTCATTTTGAAGTTCATTTCCTTATATGTCTGTTGTTGCTTTTACTTGCTGTCTTTGCATTTTTTCATTTCAATGGCAGCCACTTGGATGAGTTCTCTAGGTTTCTGCAGTCTCAGGGTCATTGTCCATCTTGAGCCAATTAAACTCAACTTTTACTGCACTGGAGCAATACAGTCATGTGACACATGCAGTGGGAAGAAAATAAAACTGTAATGTAGCTTTTGCATGTGTTATGGTGTAAATTAGTGTTATAGTGTAAATTAGTAATATATCTCCATCATCCTCTGTCATAATAAGAGACTGTGGATGTTTGTATCACAGTTTTAGTCTCAGTTTCTGAATTGATGTTACACCATCAGGTGAATAGATGAATTGATGTTGGAAAAAATATTTTAGCAGGTGGGGACCAGGAGGTGCAACTGCCCCCTGATAGTCTTCAGCCTGCATCTCAGCTTCCTGTCTCTTCCTAGAGAGAAGCGTGGGTCATGGTGGCATCAACGCCCCAAGCTGTCCAGCACCAAAGAGCCACAGCTGCCTATTGAATCCGACTCTGCGGTACCCAGCATCGCTAAATCTGTTGCATCATGATCAATGTCCAGCCAGGCCCCCAGCTGGTCCCTGAATCTCTGAACCAAGCACCTGCTCATCTACAGTCAGCAGTCTGACTGACAGCTGCTCCTTGCTTTAAGTTGGCTGTCTGGTTGACATCTGTTCCTGTTTCCCAGTCGGTAGCCCAGCAAACACCAGCACATCTTCTCCAGTCTGTGGCCTGACAGACACCAGCTCCAGATCTCTGCAGTATTTTCCATCAATTATCTCTAATTTGTTCAAACACAGTTCTATAATGAACTGAAGAATAAAAATCATGAACTTTCATAAGCTCTCTAGAATAAAAGGCCAGACTCAAATCACTTTGCCTATTTTCAGCGGTGTTGCTCTTTTGACTGTGGACAGCCTCACCATCTTGTAAACCTTTGTTTTATTTTATTTAATAAATCAGTGAACTGCATTTTCTCTACCTCTGCTATTTGGTCCTGGCATCGGTTGTGACAGTCATATAAGCAGCACCACTGCTGGTGTGTGGGTGAGTGAGAGAACAATCTTGTTGTTACTATTAAATCTTGACTCAATACAGGGTTCGTTTGAATATGTCAACAAACCTGAATGCAGTTAAATCTGCCGGCACATGATGGAGGCAACTCGTAGTTCAACCCCAGATATCATCTGATCAGATTGCACTGTAATAAACAGAGGTCATTCCACAAGATACAGAATAGTAAGTTTCATTTGAATAAATTACTTAGCTTGTTAGCTTACGTTAACTGTCTGATCGATACACTTTGAATGCAAGTTGAAATACTTTTCTTTCAATTCATTTTGTGCAAAGATTTGAAATGGACGTTATAATAACTTGCCCCAATATATTTTTATTTTCATTACAAGGTTATCCTTGCGGAGGCTGGTAGCATTTACATATAAATATCCTCTGACCCTTTGTTTACGTTCCTCACTGAAGATGAAAATGAAAAGACTGCATCAATCAAGGCTCAGAAGTGAAGAGATGCAACCGAGAGAAACAGAGAGAAAGCAGGTGGTGGTGGTGGTGGTGGTGGTGGGGGGGAGCAGGTAGCGCTCACTGTGCTCAGGATAGGTTTATCATGATGTGCCTGTGCTATTTAACTTACACAAATTACCTGATCACATTCAAACAATGTAAGCCCAACAGACAAACATTTTTAAATCTAATTGTATAATTTTAACCTGATTTTCATGCTTAGCAGTTACTTTATGCTACTGCCTATCGACACGGTTGTAAAGTCAAATCTGCCTGACTCCTTATAAAGCTGTAAAGTAGGCAGGACAGCTAGTTTTAAATTATCTTTAAGTTTTATCCTTGGCTCTCCCTAACACAGAAACATGGAAATCATCTGGATAATCTCACCAATAGGCAATTTTTGAAACATCATATTTTTAATGTGAGGAAGACAAACCACATCTAAACACCAGCTGTGGCTCAGCTGCTGTTACTATGGAGAGAAATCTAATTAGAGAAGTGAATCAGAGCTGCAGCAAATTCTGAACCTCTTATTATTTCAACAGGGACCAAAAGCAGCATCATAGCAGCTGAGTTCACGTCCAAGTGACCCAGAATGTGAAAGTGAACCACGATGTACTGCAAAGTGTTTCACCAGGTTCCAAAGAACAGGCTTCAGCTCCTCTTGCATTAGCAATGCACTTACCCTGTAAGAAATTCAAGATTGTGCTTGTATTTATTGACAGCTTCTCTACTTACATTTAAATGTGCTGCCATGTTACAATGACAGTTTTATCAAAAACACTTTCTGACATTCCAACTATAGTGCAGGCAACATATTTGCTATGCTAGTGACATGGCTCCGTGAATGACAACATCATTTATTGGTCAGTTATTCTGACACACTGACCCAGACTGAAACATCTTAACAAACGGGCTCAGGGCCGCGCTCCCACCATGCGCATCACACACTGTGAGTAGGGCATCAAGTGCCGGAGGGGACACCACAATTATGTGTGTATGTGTGTGTGTGTAGTTGTTTTGCCTCTTCTATGATATAATATGTACTGACTTTGAAAAGTTTCTAAATTTATGAGACATTTCTTCAGTCATGCGTGTAACTAATTGAACAGTTCTGTTTTTGTTATTTGTAGGCCTATTTATTTTCATTTTCTAAATTTTAACAACCGTAGCAACATCTATAATTAACATATATTTCCTTGGTTTATTTCATTGAATAAGAATGCACTTTCAAATGCTTATGTGTGTGTTGCTGTTTTGTGTGTTCTATAGTGCCATATACACTGTCTTTGCAAAGTTTTGTGACATTTTTTCAGTTATGTGTATGTGACTATTTGAACAGTTCTGTTTTTCTTACAAATACAAATATTTATAAAAATAAATATGCCTAGGACACCCATGTCCCCCTCGGGACAAATTCTTTACTAATCATTCGTAAAAAAATTATTGAAGTACCAAATACATAAAAACTGATCTGATGACATTCACCCCAGCAGTACCTCGTGTTTAGCAATTGTTGGCCTATTTACATGATAAACTAGATGGGTGCACTTTACATCTGCTTATTATTAAACATGTTAGGACTGTCACTGCATGTTGTGACAGATGAAGAATGAATACGTTACTTCTCGTCAACTCTAATGTGGAGGATTTGTTGCTGTTGTGATATCTGTGCAGAGAACCTCCCGCTGCGTTGTGCATGCATGAAAAACAAAATGCAGGTAAAGTCCGGACTGAATTCTCCAGACTGTCTGAAAACAATCTAATTAACACTGCAGAAAATGAACAGCACTTTTACTTAAGGAAGCCTGCATGCCCACACTTATCTGCCTAATTTAAGATTTCCTGCTGTTTAATCAGATAAGATTATAGGCTCTGCTATCTGTGCCAAGTCCGTCCTCGTCCTCTCATTCTCCTCAACCTCCACTTACCTCTGATGAAGTTCTGCTCGGCCAGGCTGTGGATGCTGGCCAGGTGACCGCTGTGCTCCCTGCAGTCCTTCTCGGCATCCTCCCAGGTATGTCTGCGGCTGAAGTACCTGTAGCAGTGGCCGTGGAACTTCCTCCACGTGTGCTCGCAGCCCTCTGTGTCTGCAGGTGTACAGGGAGGGGGGGTGAAAAAGAGAATAATTGTAAAAAACAGTGATTTAGTCAATGAGGAGAAATGTGGCTTTTTTAAATTGTGACACACAGTGTTGTACAGGAAAGGAGAAAGAGAAAAGGAAAACCAACATTTGTTTTGATTATTTCTTTTTGGATCCACAAAGAAAATTACTTCTTGTGTCTTACAGCCCACAAAATCAATATAACACATTCCTCCTCTGCCGCCCTCCGTCTTTTTTTTTCTTCAGTACGGTTTTACTTTGAGTGCCCTCTGTGACGCTCCTCTTCGTCTCCATCCCTCCATCTCTCCCTCTTTTCTTCAGCTCGTTCTCTTTGATTTGACTTGAACTTTAAATCCACAGCTGAGGCATGTCTGTGGTGAGACAGCTTAGTACAGTGAAAGGGCGTTTTAATCTATTCAAATGACAACACTCCTTAGAAACTGCTTCCAGTGCGCAGGGCTCACTTGGTAATTAAGCCCTGTCACAGTCCTGTAGCTGCACAGACTCCCTCCACCCATCCCATCGCTTCGTCCTTCTCTCTCTTCATCTCTCCCTCATCAACCCTCCCTCGTTTCTCTGGGGGTTAGCTGTGTGACTCTGAGCTGTACATTTCAAATGTGATGTGTGTGTGCTTTTCGGTCTCTATGCTGTATTGGTGTGAAAAAAATGTGTGTATTTAAATGTGTGTATGTATAGTTGATGTGGCTCTGGCTCGATGTGTCAGCCACCTTCAGTTTCCCATCATCCTCAGCCCGTCATGTGCCCCCTACAGTGCACAGATCATAGAAAAGGTTTGAGCTTTTCTTCCAACAAATCTGAAGCGACACCAGTAAATTGGGCTGTATGGGGCCCTGCTTAATATGCAGAGAGATGTATATTGGCTGTGGAAAGAAGAGGAGAGGAGTCCATCATGGACGTCCTTTTACACTGTTATATGAAATAAAGGCTGAGAACGTCCATCCTGCATTGAGAGAGAAAATGCTTTTCACACTGTCACTCTCTCCTCCTGTCACAGTGTTGTTCAGGGCAGTGACATCATTTCACAAAATGCAATACACTTGTTCACATTGTGTGTGACGGTCCCGGTCATATTAACAGATTAGAGCAGTCACATAGCAAGTAGGAGGCACACATCTGGGATGCAAGTCAAGTGTTGCTGAAGCCGTGCGCCATGTAGAGTTTTGGCGTGGTGCAAAAACAATTCACTAGGGTTTCAAATGTCTCTGCTATATCTGAATATGTCACAGGTAATGATAAAATAATACAAATATGTTTTGTGTGTTATAACGGGAGATTGTGGCGGCACACACATGTTTTATAATGTCGCGGTGACCTTTGAGATTTAACTACATAATTCAAATCAGTTCAAGAAAACTCCGGCCAAGGAGAGTAAAAATGTTCCAAAACTCTAAAATGCTACTTTTAAATGATATCCAGTGTTAGTCATAACCAAGCAGGCTTAACTCTTATTAACTTGGCAGGATGACAGCTAACTCACAACAGCGGATTAAAAGAGGAGTGACGAAGTAGATATTCATGCATGACATGGATTATGGTACAAACAGTTCTTAGCATTGCTTTAAAATACTAAATAAGGTTTATCACTCCACGGACATTTCCAGTACATAAATCCATGTCAGCCACATAAAAATAAAACTGACAAACCGACATTAAAAATACATCCCTATCCTTCATCTGGCTGAACCCGATTTACAGAATACTTGAGAACACTTGAAGAACCAGATCTGACACACTGACAAACTACAGGAGCTAGAACAGGCAAGCATTACTATCAGCAGACGCATGTAGGTTTCTGAACATACAATGTAGTGACACACACACGGTTTGTTTACAGTTTTTAGCAACATACAGCGGTAATAATATGAGCAGTTTTACCGAACAACAGAGATAGTTTGTTCGTCCAACACAAACACTGCAGTGCCTGCAGCTCTTCAGGTCAGATGTTCAGCTACAATTTGACTGGATGTTAATCCTGACCTTACTTTGTCTAATGATGTCTTCAGAGAAATGATGTAAGTTGTTCTGACAATTATCGGAAATATAAATGTAAAAGAGGAGAATTGCTTCATTACTTTGCCGACTTAAGTTTCTCCTGCTGGTCTGGGGATTTATTCTGATGACCTCGAAACACACTAATGACAGAAAACCCAATTAGCCATTTTAACATCCTCAGCTTCCTGTGGGCAGCTCAGTGGCTCTCTGGTTAACCCTGTTGCCCTAAAAGCAAAAATGAGTCTGGGCTTAACTTCCAATTTGGACTATAGTGTGCAAGTCCCTTTTTACACCAGTATACTTGTAGATGGTGACACTGGTTGAGAGGCAGGGTGCACCCTGCCCAGATGACTGGTGTATCGTAGGACCAACAAACAACCATTCTATCTCACATTCACAACCAGGCCATTGTAGAGGTTTACACACGCAGGACATTATTGTGTTTCTTGAACATCCAAGAGGCTTCTTCAGTTCTGGCTAAATGAGATGAGAGGTGACACATCTTCAGAAACACAATCAAGCTCAGTTGCACACATGTTCAACTCCCATGACCTGGATGACTGAGAATTTTCACAGATATATGCTCAATTTAGGGGCCACAAAAGGGCCACCATTTACACAGAGGGGCCAATCATTGGTTAATTATGTACCCATGCACATTTCCTGATTCTGGAAGGTGCACATTCAAGTCATTCCTTGTTTACAGTTGTCTCTAAAGCTTTGAGCAAAGCCACGTCACTGAATATATTTAGAAAATTGTTCCTTGTTCAACACATTATGTATTTTAAAACTAAAAATACTCATATTTGTTGTTGGTATTGTTAGTAAGTGACTACTTTTTTACAGACAGGACAAGGCAACTTAAGGGGCCAATCAGATTTCAGCTAGGGCCAGTGCCCCCTGGACCCGCCCCTGTGCCTCACAGTAAAAAGCTTCTCGCTCTGAATCCTGGGTTCAGGCCGGGTTCTGTCTGTGTGGAGTTTGCATGTTTTCTCTGTGTCTCTGTGGGTTTTCTTCGGCTTCCTCCCACAATCCACAGACACACAGATTGGGGTTATAGGTAAATTGGAGATCACAAATTATAGTCAACCTAAAAATATGTTTAACTTGCTGGAGGTCATTATTCAAAAAGATAGTTAAAATTTGCAGTGCAAATAGTGTGAGTAACTGCATGAAACTGCATGTACAATAAATCAAGGCATCTGTGTGTCTTAATAATATGGTGTTTTTTCTCAAAATATTTTTGCAGATTGGTTCTGTGTGCGGATTAATACAAACTGAAATAAGCTTTAAAAGAAAGACAACAGACTGGGTATTTATGGAAAGGCTTAGCTGCCTTAAAAAAAAAAACCGCTTTATTAATTTCAATGAGGACAAATCGTGAAAATGCAGCTTTGTCTGTAAAATGTTTGAATCAGGCTCAACTCTTGCATCAGAGCAAAGTCATCCAGTAATGGACCTTTGTTGCAGTGCAATCTATAATACATTAGAACATTCAGTCAGTTTCAAAAAGAAACCAACTGCATTTGAATCAGCATTTTACAGCCTTACATCTCCTATGTGCTATAAGAGCATGTTTCTGGGCCGAGTTATAGATTTACATTAGCTAGTCCAATTTTACTGCTCTTATCTCTGGCTGTATGGGGCCAAAACCCCTCCCTGGTGCTGTCATTTCCTCTGCTGACTCTACTCTCTCACTTCATCATCCAGACTGGAAGCTACCTGCTCAGTGTTTGCCCACATTATAGCTGGTGCATTGTATTAACATCAGGAGTTGGTCCACTTTGGCTCATGCAGATGTAAAATGGGTTGTTATCTCCAAGCACAGGGACAGGAGGGTCAGGGTGGGAGTCACAGAGAGAGAGAGAGAGAGGGA